TAATCCGATCTCTCCATCAATCGCACAAATTCTGGCCTTTTTACAAGAAGGATTGGGCAAAGGTCTTTCCCCCAACACTTTAAGAAGGCAGGTGGTGGCCCTATCTACGGTTATCTCTGGCAACCTGTCTGGCCCGCTTTCCCACCATCCTCGCATTAGAGCTTTTCTTAGAGGTGCCACTAATTTGCACCCTCCAGTAGTTCACAGATACCCGACCTGGGACCTCAACAAGGTTCTCTTGGCGCTAACTAAGCCCCCCTTTGAGCCTCTAAGAGAGACGTCACTCCAACTCCTCACGCTCAAGGTGGTTTTTCTTGTGGCAATTACATCGGCTCGTCGGATATCTGAAATAGCAGCTGTATCCTTTAGAAAGGAGTTATGCGTTTTCCACGCTGATTGGGTGGTCCTGCGGCCAGATCCCTCCTTCATGCCCAAGATAAACTCAGCCTTTCACAGATCACAGGAGCTTGTCCTTCCTAATTTTTGTCCAAGTCCTTCTCAAGAGAGAGAAAGGCAGTGGCATACTCTTGATGTTAGACGGGCGCTCCGTATCTATATCAGTCGCACTCAGCCTATCAGGAGGTCAGAGGCTTTGTTTTTATCTTTTCAACCAAAGACGCTGGGCTGCAAAGTTTCCCCGTCTACTGTTGGCCGTTGGATTAGAGCTACAATATCCAAGGCCTATTTGTCACAGGCACTTCCTGTTCCCAGTGGAGTAACCGCTCACTCTACAAGGAGTGCTGCTACTTCTGCAGCCTGGGCTACTCAGGCTCCTATTCATGATATTTGCAGAGCGGCTACCTGGTCGTCTCCATCTCCATTTATTCGCCATTATAAAATCGATGTTTTTGCCTCGGCAGAAGCCTCCTTTGGCAGACGAGTCCTTCAGCAAGTGGTGAGAGATCCAGAACATGCTCCGAGCCAGACGGAGCCCCCCCCCCCCAGTAGGACCGGCCATGCTTTGGTATGTCCCACTCTCTGGATGCTCGGAGCAGCTCGATTGAGAATGGGCGTTGGTACTTACCTGACACGCCATTTCTAGTCGAGCTAGAAATGGCGTAGAGCATCCAGCCCCACCCTATTTGGTCCGTCTGGTGGGGAATCCTGTTTCGGCCAACAATTCATATTGGGGTTTTTTGTAGTTAAGTGTTGTTTATAGTTAAGATGAGGGGATAGTTGTTTGTCTTCTCGTCTTCGTAAAAACTGGGGAACGCATGGAGAAGCTACGTGGTGGGAGGAGCGTTCCTCAAATTATAGCTCAGCCTGCAATTGGTGAAGACTAGAGCACCTCCCACTCTCTGGATGCTCTACGCAGCTTGACTAGAAATGGCGTGTCAGGTAAGTACCAACGTCCATTTCCAAGCCTCTAGTTGGCAGTGTTACAAAGTTTCTTTGCTTTCACTTTCCTCCTCCTTTTCCAAACAAAATATAATAAAAATTAATTAAAAAGGGAAAAAGATATTTTAAAAGATGACTAAAAGGGAGTCTCTAGCCTAGAATATTATAAAGTCAAAAAGGAGAGAAAGAATAGGCGAAAGAAGAAAAAAAAAACCAGTCCAGTTTCAAAATATAAAATCATGTGTAGAAAATCCAGCAATGAGGGGGGAAAAAAAATATTACTTTGACATTCCTGTTTAAAATCGCCGCTTAATCACTTCCGTCAAAACTTTTACAGATTCTTTCTTTTCTTTAGGGTGTCCTTTCAAATCTTAAAATAAAGAAAAAGTTCTCACCAAACCGGCACACTTTCTCTTTCCGTTCTCTTTCATTTTGGAGCTGTCTCAACTTCAGCAGCTTTAATGGCTGCCTCTTTGCCGCTTACAAAAAGAGCTTCTCCTGGATCTACCAGGGACTTTGCAGTATCCCTGGGATTGACAGGATGCGCTCTTTACATTCACCATCTCTTCGGGACAGTTTAGATCCAATTGGACCGTCCAGGAGCAAAAATATCGGCAGCGAACTCAGACCTCCAAGATTGCATGCTGTATTGTTGCGACGCCAGCTCCGCCCTCCCCCAAAATATAAACTTTAATCATCATTTTTTTTTTGTTTCTTTAGGAAACAGCTGAAAATCAAACCTTCACATTTTTATAATACAGAAAATAATACTAAATTTTAATACTGAAAATACTGAAAATCTCCAAAATGAAATATTAATTATATCTGGAGTAAGCCTCTCTTAAGCTGAAATAATAAATTATAATTAAGTGATTTAGAAATGGGGGGTCATTACAGTGTCAATTTTTCTTCTGCTATGCTACAGCTTTGAAGTTCCTGTAGGAACCTGCCTCCCAGCTAGGGGTGGGATTCAAATTTTTTAACAACCAGTTCTGTGGGCTTGGCTAGATAGGCATGGCCATGTGACTGGGTGGGCATGGCTTCTTTTTTTGCAGCACCCCCAGGGTTTTCTTTTTTTTGTCTCTTGGGCCTCAGTGAAGCTTCCTGGGGGGCGTTTTTGCTCCCAGGAACCTTCCCTGGGGCCCAGGAAGGCAAAAAAACAGAGCACCGCAGGAGGGGGCCCCAGCCCTCCCACACACCCCTTTTTGCCTCCTGGGCCTTAGGGAAGCTTCCTGGGAGCAAAAATGCCTTCCCGGGAGACTTCCCTGAAGCCCAGGAGGCAAAAAGGGATGAAGAAGTAAGATAGTGAGGGGGATCCTGGCACAGCTGATCATCAGAACAGCTGATCATTGGGAGGGGAAAAATACAAAATGCAGTCAGCGATGTCGTGTATGCTGATAAGGACTGACTGGGTGGGGAGGGGAGGTGTGGGTGGAGAGCAGTTGGGCCAGCCAGGGGCACGATTTGCTGGTTCTCTGAACTGCACAGAATCATAACAACTGGTTTTATAGAACCTGTCTGAACTAGTAGAATCCCACCTCTGCTTCCAGCCATTTGACTCACCAGCTGATTGTAAAAACCTTCCTTTCACAATCTTCTTTCCAGGAATAGTTGTCTAGAGGACAAATACATCAATTCCTGGGATTCCCTTCGATTCTGGAGAATTCTTCAAGTTACAGGAATCCTGCTTGAGCCCCAATTCAGTGGTTGCCTCTTCTCCAATTCTGAAGGAGTTTCTCAAGCCACCATTTCCCCCACTAGAAGGGAAAAATCCCTTATCAAAATATTACAGATTTATAATTTGCAGCAATCTTTTTTAATCCTTCTGATATATGTATTCCTCATATGACTGGTTTTATGAAATTCTTTATTGTAAAGTAGACATGTCATTTCTTGAAAAAAATCTTATTTAAATTATTTGCACTGTTACTGATACATTACAAAGTGTAGGATTAAATGACTATATGGGTTTTTCATTTATTTTAATAGCAAAGATCATTAAAGTGCTGTAGTTCTCTAAAAGTTTAACAAAACAACAAATATTTTATAACAATTTATACAAATTATTATAGTGGCTCTTAAAATGCCAATTCAATGAAAATTAAATGAAAAATAATAAAGTTGTATGGAAAAAAAGAGGTTCTGTGAATGTTTAAATTAATTGAACAATATTGTTCTTTCTAGGGGTCCATTCAGTGTTGTGCGGCGATGTATCAACAGAGAAACTGGGCAACAGTTTGCTGTCAAGATTGTTGATGTAGCAAAATTCACTTCAAGCCCAGGCTTAAGTACTGAAGGTAAAAATCAGTTGTTACCAAACAGTGTTTTATTCAATTTTACTATCTTTATGATAATTATGTCCCAAAAATTTATTTATTTTTTATCCTAAAGAAATGAAAATCATGCCTGTTACAGATATTTTGTGCAAGTATTGACAAAATAAGTGATCAATACTGTTATCTTGAGTCCATTTTATATATATATTATTTCATTCAGATTAATTATTTAACAAGGAAATCAAAGGAATAAATTATTTTTGGCAAATTGAAGAATAAATCATATTATATAAATTATTATATATGTTAAATTATTATCTAAGTTAATTATATTGTAAGGTCCCAGAAGTTTTCCCAAGCCACTGAGATGCAAAAGAGCTCTGTTGGAATTCAAGACAAGGTTTGCAAAAATAACAGCTTTTTTTAATTCTTCAGCCAAAGCAAAAAGTCTAGGTAAATACTATGTCCAAAACATACAGACAAAGTTCATGTAAGGAATAGCCATACCAAGTGAGAGTGGCTCAGGGTATTATTTAAATTTTACGCTGATAAAAACAAAGTTTATCCAATCAGAGTCAAAGGTTCGTTAGTCAATGTGGGCAATGTCTTGCCCATGCCCTCCCCTTCCTTATCCATGGAGTGTTCTTTGTCTATTTTCTGTCCATGCTTTGTTATTTTACACAGTATCCCTTGTCCTTGTGTGTTCATGCTCCTAGGTAGCCCCCCCACCATCTATGGAGCAGGATGTTCTCAAGAACTTTCTCCAAGGATGTGTCTAGCTCTGAAGCAAATTGCAGAGGCGAGAAACCAGATAGAAAAGGATACAGTTCTTTTACAGAATGAATTCCTAGCAAATGATTTCCAACCTTAGCAAAATAGTACAAGCAACTTCTTTTACAGAAGCAAAGAGCAAAGCTTAGATTGATTCAGGTCAATATGTCCTTTCATTTTCCTCCCTTTTTTATGACAGGATGCTTTCTGTCAATGGTGGGCTAGGGGAGCATTTAAGGACCATGAATTTTGCTGGTCTAACAGGTGGAGGGGGTGGAGGAGGGGTTCAGTGGACACGGAGGAGGCTAAGACTGGAACAGGAGATCTCCAAAGGCTAAAAACATGAGAAACCCAATCCATTTCCAGTGAGAGAAGATACTGCCAATCCAGTTGAAGTCAAGTGTACCAGTCCAAGTCTGCATCGGGATGTGGGCAGTTTTCTCCACCCTTGATCTCCTCCATAACTTTTTCTGGCTCATCTATCTGTAAACAACAATTTGTGAGATAAAAATTTTAACACACACCTTCTCCTGTTGCTGACAAAAAGTGTAAAGCAAGTCTATGTTGATATATATAGCTGTTTTAAAGTGAGTCTGCCATTTAGCCATTATAACTAAAGCAATAGCAATTTCATTAGTTATTATTTCAAGCACAGGTTGTAACCTTATAAGTCTATTCCAGGGGTCGCCAACCTTTTGGACCTCAGGGACCACCAAACTCATAATTTTAAATCCTGCAAACCACTGATAAAGCTGGCTGGGGAACTCTGAGAGTTGAAGTCCGCCAGGCTAAAAGTTGCCCAGGTTGGAGACCCCTGGTCTGGATGACAGTCGATATAGTCAGACTTCTGAACTTCACTTAAACACTGATTTTACCATCTCGGGATACATACAGCTGCCAGGCTTACCACCGAAGCCACGCCTGAGTTCCCAGAGAACTGGAAAGCGAAAAACTAAAAAATCTGCCTGGGTCGTTGATCCCCCCCCACCTTGGGCAATGGCTCCCCTGCTGAAGTTGCAGTCCCGTTGCAAATGCTGCTGATCCGCTCCATGGCTACAAGAATCCTTCCATGGGGAGGGATGGGGAGCGGAGAAAGAAAGAGAGGGAAAAGCCGCGAAGCAGATTCTCCAGCCAAACCAGTCATGCCTTCTTTGATGACAGGGGGGATGGGTATTTGGAGAGGATCCCTAACTTGGGCCAAGAGGCAGAGTGTGTGTGTGTGTGTGTCCCTGTCCAAATCAGTCCAGGTGCAGCGGCAAAAAAGCAGTGGCAGCAGGTGGGACTTTGCCCATCTGTCCAGCAGCTGTGACACTCTGCCTGAGCTCTTTGCACTGTCATTTTTCCTTATTCCCTTGCCTCACGCCTCACGAGCTCTTAGCAGCTCTCTTTCTGCCGCTCCGAGCTTGCCTTCTTCCTTGGGGAGTCATCCCACCTCCACCTGCCTTGGTGTCCTTTCTCCTCCCTTGTTTTTAGGGCTCCATCTCTCTTTTCTTTTCTGCCATTTCCTTGTTGGCTTCTGGTCTGCAGGAAAATTCCTCACCCCGTTTTCCTATCGATCAATCATTTGGGATTGCAGGATACTGTTTCCAGCTCCGTTCTCAGAGAGAGAGAGAGAGAGAGAGAGTTTTGGCTTCATGCAAGGAAAGCAGAAGTCTTTCTTCCTGTTCCCCAAACTCCGCCAGAAATGAGTCTTAGCCTCTTGGAGCAGGATGCCTTGCAGGGTCCCAACGACTCATTTCTGGTGGAGTTTGGGGGACAGAAAGAAACTTTTGCTGTTTTCCTTGCATGCAGCCAAAAGCAGAAGAAAGAAGCGGAAATAAGCAGGCCGGTGGCCAGGCGACGTGTGTGGGGCAAGTTCCCCTCTCCCCCTTCATCCCTCCCCTCACTACCTTGTGTTGTTCACAATGCAAGCAACACAAGCCTTGTATTCCCATGGGCCATGTGGGTGGTGCAGCCTTGTGTTCCCCCACACAGCCTGGATTAACAGTTTTGGGGGGTGCTTTGGGGGTGACATTTCTCTGCCGACCACCAAAATTTTCTCACCAACCACCAGTGGGCCACATCCCACCGGTTGGCGATCACTGGTCTATTCAACATATAGGAGTTCTATAACCACACATGCCATCTTCTGTTCAGATAGCTGGTCTGTATTTCTGAATTATTCTTTTTGGAGGCCACTCATAGATCTGTGATCTGCTTCCACATGAACAGGTACACTCAGTCTGTCACCTTGTTGTATGGATAGTAGGAAAAACACTACACATGCTCCATACCAATGGCTAGGCAATTGCACAAAGGCAAACTTTCCACATATCCAATATAAGCCATCTGTAGCATGCCAGTTAAGAATTTCATTACCCACTTCCGTCCATAACCCACCCAATCTAGGTACATTTTCAAATGAGATATTAGGTTGTGTCAGGTTAATTCCAAACTGAAAGGTTACATTAAGCAAAGAAAAGACCCATGTTTGTAATGTATGTTTTTTCAGATTAATCATTGCATTATATTCTTCTCCTATTCTATCGATGGAAAATTATAACCACTGCATCAAATCAAAAGATCCTATATCTTCAGAGATTATGATAACACCATCTTCTAGGACTACTGTGTCCAAGGCAGGTTGATCAGGTTAAATGCCCCAATTCTTACACATTTAATCTACCTGGTCTTCTACTATTACTATATCACAAGGTTTTTCACAAGTGCATATTGGTTCACACTCACAAAAATGTTAACATCATTCAGTAATATAGTTACAATCACAGAACCAACACATCCTGTAGGGTGCAAAATTCCACAGCTTCGCTTGGGATCTTTAGATGGAATGACACAGGCTACCACACAGGCAGGAAAAATCAAAAGGTTGGTACTGCTGCAATGAGAAAAAGAAATCACAAACAAAACCCATTCATACCACCATGACCGCATCAGATTTTGGTAATGTTTATTCTCAGCCGGTCTTCTCCAGGAATCACTTTCCACTCTTTTAAGTTCATCAACTGGTCCTTTTACACACTTGCAGTGGGTCCACCCTTTGTCTTTTGTTTGGACAGCTGTTTCAGTGGTCAGCAGGACTTGGTAGGACCTGTCCCAGGCTTGGCTAAATTTTTCC